CTGGGGTCACCAACCTCCACTTTGGGATCACTGTGCTTTGGTTTGCTGTCATCAATGCTTCAGTCTAGAGTCACCAGGCTTCGGTTTGGTTGCTTCAGTTTGGGGTCGCCATGCTTCAGTTTGGTAGCACCATGTTTTTGTCTGGGACCAACAGCCTTCACTTTGGTGGCACCATGGTTTGGTTTGATGGCACCAACAGCTGTGGTCCCCACTACCACAGGAGGAGATGGGATGTCTGTTAATCCTCCCCCATTTCGCTCGCCCGCTCAGTGGCTGCTTGCACTGCATTCATGACGGTGGCCCTTAATGCTCCCTTCTCCAGTTGGTACAACCCATGGATGGTGGTCCCACCAGGTGTGCAGACGTCCCCACGCAGCTTTGCTGGGTGCTCACCTGTCTCCAGCAGCATCTTCGCTGCTCCCTGGGGATGTATGGGGTCAAGAGGTTCCTTCAAACCCCCTTTTTGCTCAGGGATCACAGCATCGTCTCATCACTGGATGGAGGATCACTATATCCTCACACTGATCTATGGGATAAGGACCCCAAGGAAGGGGCAGCAATGTCCCAGTGGTGCTCTATGGCACATGGTCACCTAAAGGGAACAACCCTCTCCCCACGTCCCCACACTGCTCTATAGGGGAGGGACACCAGAGTTGGGGTTGGACAAGGGGATCCCCACGTCCCCATGCTGCTTTATGGGACAGGGACCCCAAGAAATTGGGTCAGGGATGTCCCTATACTGGTCTATAAGAAAGGGGCACCCAAGGCTGGGGATAGGGTTGTCCCCACATTCCCATAACTGCTCACCAGCAGCGTCTGGGCTGCAATCCTACTGGCCAGGCCCCCTGGCATCCCCATCTTCACAGCTCCCTCAGCCATGGCTTCAGCAAACAGGTACACCTGCAGGGGAAAAGCAGTGGGGAGACCAGAGGATCCCAAAAAAAAAGCTGAGCAACCCAGTATAGTGAATGATACTTACATAGGCAACGCCACTGCCACTGAGCCCAGTGTGGATGTTGATGTAGGACTCAGGGACTTCCTCACACAGCCCACATGGGGACAGCAGGGACTGCAGCAGTGCTGCATCCCCATCCCCAACCCCACAGCCACGGGAGAAGACAGCAGCTCCCACCTGCAGCACGCAGGGCAGGTTGGGCATCAGGCGCAGCACCTTCGTCCCCGTGGGGAGCAGCTGGGGGGAATAGAGTCAGTGAGGGGTAATGGGGGTCATTTGGGGTGGGGGATTGGGAAGCAGAGAAGGAGGAAGAAGAGCAAGAGGGAGAAGGAGGAACAAGAGGAAAAGGAGAGCACCCACCCGCTGCAGCTTCTGCAGGCTGACACCAGCTGCCAGCGAGATGAGGAGGTGCTGGGAGGTGACAGCAGGACGCAGCTCCTGCAGCACTGTGGGCAGCACGTGGGGCTTGGTGGCCAAGAACACCACTGTGCTCTCCTGAAGTACCTCCAAGTTGCAGTGCGTGGTGCGACAGCCCCACTCCTGCACAAGGGTAGGGGACAGGGTCACAATGCCATGTCACAGCCCCGTATCACAACATCACGTCCCAGTCCCAGATTCCAACCCCACGTCTCAACCTTGCATTCCAACCCCAATGTCCCAACTCAGTGTCTCAAATCCACATTCCAACCCCATGCCCCAACCTCTCATCCTGACCCCATGTCCCAACACTGGGTCCCAACCCAATATCCCAACCCCATGTCCCAAACCAACACCACAACCCCTCCCAACCCAACATCACAACCCTTATTTCCTACCCCATGTCCCAACCCCATGTCCCTACCCTGTGTCCCAACCCCACTGTCTCAACCCTGTCCTAAACCCAGTGTCCCAACCCCACGTTCCAGCCTTGTGTCCCAATCTCTCATCCCAACCTCACATCCTGATGCTGTGTCCCAACCCCAACCCAATGTCTCAATCCCACGTCCCAATCCCATTTTCTAGCCCCATGTCCCAGCCCCAATGTTCCAATACTGCATCCCAACCCAGTGTCCTAATCTCATGTCTCAACCCCAGTGTCCTGACCCCACTGTCCCCACCCCATGACCCAACGCAATATCACAACCCCACTGTCCCATCCTCATTGTCCTGATTACAATATCCCAACCCAGTGTTCCCTTCCAGGGGACGCTTTGGGACCTTCCACCCTAATGTCCATCAGAGCCCTGCAGAGCTTTACAAAAGGTGACCCCAAATGCCACCTCCCATTGGGGTTGTCACTCTGTCCCCATGCCACTCACCCGCCACTCTGCCAGATTGCGGTCCGAGGGAGCGCTGACAACGATGTTGCTGGCAGGGACCTTCCCTTGGGGACATAAGGGACATGGATGAGTGGATTGGGTGGCCCACAGGAAGCCACAAAACCAATGGGATAACGCATTGTCCCCAACCCCGTTAACACGAGGGACGTGGAGCAATAGAGATTGGGACATGCCATGGGGACAGCTGGGGGAGCATCGTTGTGACACCATACGGTGACAATGGAAGTGATCCTACATGTTGGGGGCATCTGTTAGGTTAGCACTATTGGGAGGGTTGTCACCATGTCCCCAAAATGCTCTATGGGACATCCAAGAAAGGAAAAACGTTTTCCCATGCCCTCACACTGTTCTATAGGGGAGAAACACCAGCGTTTAACACGAGTGTCCTCATCTCCACATCCAAGTTAGGACAGATTATTCCCGTGTCCTCACCCTCCTCTATTGGACAGGGACATCCCAAAGGGGACAGCCCTGTTCTCAAGTCCCAACACTGATCTATAAGAGAAGGAGACCAGAGGTGGTACTGGACACAACTGTCCCCATATCCCCATGCTGTGCTATGGGACAAGGACAGGACATCCCAAAGGGGAAATATCTGTTCCCATGTCCTTGCATTGATCTATGGGACAGAGGAGACAGCCTTGTCCTCATATCCCTGCACTGATCTATAGGAAAGAGTCACCGAAGTCGGGGTTAGACACAGCTGTCCCCACTCTGCTCTATGGGACAGCGACATCTCAAAGGGGGCAGCTTTGTTCCCCGTGTCCCCACACTGCTCCATGGGGGCAGGGACACATAAGGTGGTGCACAGCGCCGTCCCACACCTCTCTGTAGGGCAGGACACCAAACCTGGGGAAAATCTCGTGTCTCTGGCTCCAAGGCCCCAATCCAAGGCTCTGTCCCCCCCATACCTGCCCGCAGCAGCCCCCGGCCGAGGCCCCCCGCCATCCTCCCGGCGCCCACGAACCCCACGCGCAGCTCCTCCGCTTCCATCGCCCCGCGCCACGCCCCCCTCGCTCCTCCCCGCCACTCCCATTGGTCAGACGAGGCACACCCCCGCGCGGCGATTGGAGGGCGTGATGTCAAGGGGGCGTGACCAATGTGGCTACGCAACTTCCGGGTGATTCCACGTGGTTTGGGGACAGCGTCCGGGGTGGGAGCGCTGCGGGAAGCACGTGGGGTGGGGGTGGAACATAGGGGCCCCCTCCCATTTTGGGGACGTGCTGGAGAGGGTATCTATAAAGCTTTCATGTTCTGGAATTTATTTCTTTAATTCCTTTTGGGGGAGAGGATGTGAGGTGCTCTTGAATTTGTGTTGGGGGCTTCTCAACCTTTTTGGGTGCCCTTTACTCTTTTTTTTCTTCCTATAGGGCACCCCCTCCAAGTCCACGCAGCCCTATAGCCTGGAATCCTATGGGGATGAGGGGGTTGGGCTGATAGCAGAGAATGTCTGTCCTCTTACTGGGAGAGGTCTGCTAAATGTCCCCTTGAATTTGGCATTGTGGCATCTCACCTCCACCCCAGAGAGGTGTGAGGTGGGTTGGGAATGGTGGGTTGGAAGTGGGGTGACTTGGGAGAGATGATCATAGGGTGGCTGTAGAATGGAGGTCAGAAACCCTAAGGTGTCCCCATCCAACCCCAGCATGTCCCCATGCCATGTTGGGGTATCTGTGCTACCCCAGGGTGTCCCCATTGTCTACATAGGTAGAACACATCAGCACCCACACCATTTTGCATTGCCTTCATACCTGGAGCAGTCCAGTGATGGTAGGGGAGCCTTGCTTAGCAGGATGGATGTCACCAGCTCCTGATGCTCTTGGGAGAACAAAGCCTAGGGACAAGGCAGCTGGGCAAAGTGGCTATCAGGAGTCTGCATGGGGTAAGCTTGAGCCAGGGGTAGGTGTAGGGTGGGTTCTGCTCCCTGGAACTATCTGGGTTCCCCTTTTAGGGCCAGGTCATAGAACTGTAGGTCTTCTTCTAGGAATAGGTGTTGTCTCTGTGATGGTCCATTGGGAGAGGTCCTGGTCCTGGAGCATATGCCCAGAAAGGACTTCTGGGTGGAGGGGTGCACTTCTGTGCTCTGCCAAACCCCCTTTTCATAGAATCATAGAATCATAGAATCACTAAGGTTGGAAAAGACCTAAAAGATCACCCAGTCCAACCGTTCACCTATTCCCAATAGCTCCTACTAAACCATGTCCCTCAACACAACATCCAGCCTTTCCTTGAACACCCCCAGGGTCGGTGATTCCACCACCTCCCTGGGCAGTCCATTCCAGTGCCTGACCACCCTTTCTGAAAAGCAACCAGGTGATGCTGGAACCAGGTGTAGGAGCTGGGCAATGCTGGGAACCCAAACCAGTTCTTGGATAGTGTTGGACAACATGGGACATCCCTTCTCCAGGGAGATATTGGGGTTGGTGTCACCCAATGAGCACCACCAGTGACCTGACAGTTTGGGAACAGCCACTCTAATAGTTGGGGGCATCTTGGGGTCAGAATGGATATCTCCTCCATAGGAGGAGGACTCGAATGGCTGGTGACAACTTCACACTGCAGTGATGATGGGTGTCTACTCCATAGGTCCTTGCTGTCCCCAAGGCAGGGGCCCACCAGGACCAGGCAGTGGTTTTGGTCCCTCTAAGAGATGCTTTGCTGGAGGCTATGGGACAGTCCCCACGCAGCTGCGTTTCCCCATGCACCGAAAGCAACACCAAACAGTCATGTGTGATTCCTGTGCTGCAGCAACAGCCTCAATCAGCTTCTTTATTACAACCTAATTATGCATAATTAGTAGTGTAGTCCATTATAAGAGCTGCCAGCCCATGCCCCAGGGATGATTGTGATCAATTCAACCATAGTGTCTGTTGCTCCTGCCCCATTTGGGATCTCTCTGGGGACAGCAGCACCTTTGGGACCCCCAATCTGCCTCCCAAAGCCCTCGGTGGGGTCTGCACCCTACAGCAGGTAGGAAAGGAGTGTTACCTGAGCAGGGTCTCTTCTACATAAGATGCTACTTGATGATTTTTCATTATATTTTCCCCCTCTCCTTGCACACCCTCAAGCGTACCCAGGATCCTGGCACCCATTTGCTTTGGAAATATCGCTGTCAGCCCCCACACCTCATCCTCTGCCCCAGCAAAGGACAACCCTGAGTTAAAGAGGACGCGTGGGCACCGCTCCATCACTTCCTAGCACTGGCGTAGTTGGTGCTGAACCAGGTGCAAGTCTCCTTCACAGCTGGGAACAGAGAGATGCCATCAGAAAGGTTTGAGATGGGGAGAACAGGGGGACAGCGATGCACTGGTGTGCCCCCTTCTCACCTTGTCTGAAGGGTGTGAACTGGAAGTTGGGGAGGTAATGCCTGAGCTTGGCATTGCTGGCTGTCTTCTTGAACTGCCCATCGGCCTTGGTTGTGTCGAACTGGGGTGGGAGGGATTAAGGGAAATGGGAAAGCAGGGAGGCTGAGGTGGTGAGGCTGTATTCTGCCCCACAGCCAGGCAATAGGATGAGAGGTAACAACCTCTGGATTCGGGTTGGATATTAGGAAAGCTCGGTCAAACATGGGTTGACGTTTGGACTCGATGATCTCAGAGGTCTTTTTCAACCTTAATGATTCTATGAGTGAGCATGGTGGAGATGGGTTAATGATTGGACTTGATGATCTTGGAGGTCTTTTCCAATCTCTTCTACACTAAAGGATACGACAAGCTCTCCCCTGAAGTCCATGGCCTCCACGATTGCCTCTGCAGCCTCTCTGATGGAGACTTCATCTTCTTCTCCCACTGTGGAGATGGTGATGAGCTGAGGCCATTGTTTCCCCCTTTCCCTCTTCCTCTTGGAATTTTGTCCTTACCTGACAAAATGATGGGCTCCACCTCCTCGTATTCCCGTAGAACCCAAACGAAGAGCCGGGCCAGATCCTACAGAGGAGCAGATGGCTCTTGGAGGACCCCAGGCCCTGAGGATCAGTGCTGCCCAGGACAACCCAGGAGGGCTCAGCCTGCGCTGAGGTCCCCCAGCCCCTCATGTCACCCCCCCAAGTGCTCCCCAAGGCCACACATACCAAAGAGTAGATAAACTGTCTTCGGGGCTTGCCTGTGCCCCATACAGTCAGAGCAGAGCCATTCTCTATGGGGGAAATGGAGAGAGCATTCATGAGCAACCCCACCAGAAAGAAAAAAAAAAACTAAACCATAATATGCCCTATCTATCACACTCACGTTTGGCCAGGTACACCTTATGGATGAGCCCTGGTAGCACGTGGCCATCCTCAATGTTGAAGTTGTCGTGTGGCCCAAAGACGTTGGTGGGGATGACGGCGGTGAAACGGCAGCCGTGCTGCTCAAAGTAACCCCTGGGCGACAGCACGGGCTGGGTGAGTCCCTTTCCACTCAAACTGTGATTCTCTGAGTTGTGGGGTCACCCCCTGTCCAGCACAAAACAACCCACAGACAGTCCCTAACTTGGTATGGCATCTCTTGGTTGCCAAGGCTGGGTATCTCCCCATCCCCATTTAGGTGCTGTCAGCCCTGGAGTTTCCCTTTGCCCCAGTAGTTCCAAGATGCTCACAGCCCTCTTAAACCAGGATGGTTCTCCCATGGCCCTCACACCTGTTCTGGACATCGATCATCCTCTTGGCATAGGAGTAGCCAAAATTGGAGCTGTGTGGTGGCCCGTTGTGGATCTGGGAACGAGAGACACAATGTGAATCCAGCACAGACCACGCAGCGTCAGTCGATGCAAGATTTTGGACATGAGGAGGTGGTGTGGTTTGAACATCTCGGGGAGGTTCAAGGTTATGCTTTGCCCACGGATAGTTTGGATAAAGGATAGAATCAGATTGGCCACACTGGGACCCAGCTGTGTCCCTGCAAATGGGAACAGAGATGCTCACCATGGTCTCATCAATGGGATATGTTGTCTTGTCTGGGAAGATGCACGTGGAGAGGCAGGAGACCACCTTCTGCACCCCGCACTCATATGCAGAATGCAGGACGTTGTCATTGATGTGGATGTTCCTCCTCTGGGGACACAGAGACATCTGTCAGTGTCACCCACAAAAGGGTGGTGGAGCCACCAAACCCTGCACCCCATGGTGATGACTCATTAATGACTGCAGAAACCAGAGTAAGAGGGCAAGGTTCTGCAGGACCCACTTGCCCAGGCGCTCACCCAAAAATCCAGGTTGCAACGGATGTTTTTGAAGAGGCCCCCAACCATAGCAGCCAGGTGGATGACATGGGTGGGTTTATGTTTCTCAAAGAGAGCTTTGGTCTCCACAGCACTCCTAGAGGGAGGAAGTCACCGGGTTTACTGCATCAGTGTCCACACTTTTGGTTTGCTTGGATTGCACTGAGTGAAGAGGAATCGCCTTGGGGGCCACATATAAAACATGCCATTCTGTGTCTCTGTGGTCTTTAAGGCTCCTTCTAACCCAATCAGTCTATGGTTCTGTGATCCTTAAGGACCCTCCCAACCCTGCCATCCTATGATACTATGATTTTTAAGAGCCCTTCCAACCCAAGCTATAGAATCATTCAAGTTGGAAAAGACCTCCAAGGTTATCAAGTCCAACCATCCTCCCACCCCACCACACCCTCCAAAGTATGTCCCCAAGTGCCACATCTACCCTTTTCTTGAAGACCTCCAGAGACCCAGAACCATCCCATGATTCTAAGATATTTAATATCCCATCTAACACAACTATTCTATGGCTTAATGATCTTTAACAATCCTTCCAACCCAAGCCATTCTAGGATTCTATGGTCTTTAGAGTCCCCAACCTATTCTATTAGTGCGTCGTGGGGGCAAAAGGAATGGATTGCTGGGGTTGGACTCACGTCAAGTCGGCATCTCTGGAGGACACGAAGACCCACTCCTCATCCGTCTGCCCCTCACCATTGGCCACCACCTCCTGGATGGCTCTGCCCACCAAACCGGTGCCCCCCGTCACCAGGATGCGTTTAGGCTTTGCTCCCACAGCCTCCGTCATGGCCAAAGCCCTGTGCTGATGGGAGAGGGGGGAATAAGGCAATACCACCTTGGGGGGCACCCATAGGGACCCCCAACCTCGGGAGGAGAATCAAACTAATTTGGGATTATGTTTTCAGGATTGAAGCTGTGTCTGCAAAAGCAAAGAAAAGGAAAAAGGAAAGAGATGTGTCTGCCAGCGATGCTCCAGGGGCAGTAAAACTCTCCTCATCTGCAGCTGCTAATTAATGAAACCTGTCTCGTGCTGCCACGTGGCTACGGCAAGGCACAGCCTCCCGGAAATGGCTGCGGAGCACACGTCCATCCCCCTGCACCCCAAAACAGGGGCTTGTACCCTCCCCGTACAGCCCTCTGAACCCCAAGCCCATGTCAGCACCTCCACATCCCCTTATGAATGCCAGTCCCAGAGCTGCAACCCCTCCACGCACCCCAAATCCTGTGTCAGCACCCTCACACCTCCCTGTGCTCCCCAATCCCACAGCTGCACACCCCAAATCTCACGTCAGTCCCCCCCCTCCACAGCTCCAATCCCATGGCTGTCCTCCTGTACCCAAATCCTAGAGTTGAACACCCCAAATCCTATGTCAACACCCCACATCTCCCTGCAACCCCAATCCCAGAGCTGCACACCTCCAATCCCATGTTGGTACCCCCACATCCTTCTCTATCCCCAATCCTATTGCTGCCCTTTCCCCCCTTTACCCCCCAGTCTCCAAATGCTTGCAGAGTCCCCAGCAGCTCCCCTATTCCTTGTCAGAGGTTCCCACCTTGGGGCAGCCCTGGAAGATCGCTCCACAATGGGGTTTTTCCCCTCCCTCCTCTCCCAACCTCATCTTGGGGTGCCCTCATCCCTTTGTCACCTCCGCGGGTGACATCAAAGGATGCAACCTACCTCCATGTAGGATGGGGGGGGGGATGCTCTTTGCTTCCAATCAAATCACGCTTTGAAAGGGGTTACCCCATTTGTGCCCCCCCCTCCCCACGAGGGCTCCCACCTCACCCCTGTATCTCCACCCCATGTCGGGTTCCCCCCCGAATATGCGGTCTCCCTCTGTCCGCACCTTTCGGTTCGGGTTCGGGCTCGGGCTCCGCTGCAGCCGCGCTTCCTGCGGGTTGCCCCCCCCGCCCCCCCGTCTTCCCCCTCCTCCTTCCCCTCATCGTCACCGCCGCCGCTCTGATCCTCGGGAAATGCAGTCCTGCACCGAACGTCCACGTGTGCTTTTGCAGCCGGCTGCAAACACACGTGCATACATGCGCACACATGCTCAAGTGCATGGCAGCTGGTTGCAAACACCCCCGTGCACGCACGGCCACACGTGCACCCCGAGTTCCCATCTTGCTGCAGGGGAAGGGGAACTCAGGCTCCATCCCCTTACCTCCCCCAGCTTTGCAAAAGGGAATTCAATGAGCAAAGACTTCACCACCTTTAACACAGTTACAGAGGAGATTATAAGCGAGCAGAGCTTTCTGATGGGTGGGGAGGAGCTTTCAGAGCCCCTCCAGCTGGCTTCTCCAGTGGGATTTCTGCTCAGTAAAGGCACTGCACTCAATTAATTAAAATGCTGAAAAATGGGACTAAGGGAGACCCAGCAAGGAATCTCCTCCCAAGGAGATGTAGACTCATTGTGGAGGAGTAATAGGATCTCATGGCTTTTCAGTTCTTTTCTCCCTCTAACTTTCTAGCGGCTGAGACCTGCAAGAGGAACATGCCCTTTTCTTGTTGGAAATACTGAGGAAAACCAGTTTAACCCCTTCCCGAGAGCTGCTTTTCCCCAGCACATCAAAGGATGCAACCTCGTGCTGGTTGTCACATGACCAGCCATGTCACATCTGTCCCCTTCCCCAGCTGGGTGAGTCCCAGCATGTCTTAAGAGTCATAGAATCACAGGTTGGAAAAGATCTCCAAGGTCACCAAGCCCAACCCCAACCCATCCCCACCAAACCGTATCCCAAAGTGCCACATCTACACGTGTCCCCACAACCAGGGCTGCATGCACACTCCCTAGGATGAACCTGTGGGTTGGACCCTCCGTGGATGGCCATTTTTGGGGAAAGATCTCCAAGAACACCGAGTCCAACCCCAGCCCATCCACACCGCTCTCACCACCCATGTCCCCAAGTGCCACACCTCCATGTTTTGTGAACACTTCCAGGGATGGTGACTCCATCACCTCCCTGGGCAGCCCGTTCCAATGCCTGATCACTCTTTTAAAGATGAAATTTGCCCTAATATCCAACTCAGACCTCCCCTTGTGCTATCTTCCCAGGACACGGGAAGCACTAATTTCATATGTGGAATCTACAATGAGATGCAGAGGGTTGAAGCTGCATCTCCATGCGAGAAAATCCTTTGTTTGCCCTGCAGACATCATTCCATCTTTCATCCTCCACCAGACGCCAAGAAAACAGCTTATTTCGGCATTTCCTGCATGTCCCCTCCACCTGCCCCAGCCCAAGCTATGGGGATGAATTGCAGCCGCAGTCAAATTAGCCAAGTCAGGGAAATGCAGAAAGTCTAAGGAGGACTTTCCAGGTGCCAGTGGGAGGAGAACAGCTTTCTGCTGGGAACTTGGAAGCGTAATCTTGGATAACTCATGTTTCTGCCGAGAAATTGCCACACTCAGCTGAAGCCAGAGCCCAAATCACGCCGCCGTCCTGAATAACTGTGGTGCTGGGTTTAAAGATGCTAATTATGGAGCCAATTACCCAGGTAATGTTGGGGCATGAAGGAAAATCACAGGGAGAGTTGTAAACGTGCAGTGACCGCACAGGATGGGGCAGACTTGTGGCTCTGAAAATTTGGCTTTTTACATAATCAAGCAAGATCTGTCAAGCTAAGGATGAAAGGACAGAGATGATCCTTATGCTGAGATATCTCCTGCGTTGCATAAAGCAGAAGACCTTGCATCAGGCTTTGTCATAGCTAGAGAACCTCTGTGTCGTCTCTGTAAGGAGGCTTCCTTGTGGGTAACCTATTTCTCTCCAGCTGTCTGGTCATCTCCAACCCTGGGAAAGGGTGTACAAGCAGTCCAAATGCATCCTGCCCCAGAATGGAATGGAAACCAGCTTGCAATGCTGATTCAAGGAACCAGCGTGAAAGTGCACAAAATGATGAGTCAAGGACAGCAGTCATGGTTTTTCCTAGAAATGGGAGGATTCTCTGCGTGGGAAATAGGAACCAGTAGCAATTCAAATGGAAAATTTCTGGACTTGGGTTGAGAAAGGAATAAACTTGCAAACTCGTGGATTGGGAGATCTTGTTGTGCAGTGTCATCGTCATCATCACTTCGTGTTTGGTCCTTCAGTCCTCTTGAAGGAGAGAGGTGAGGAAAAGACCATGCTTGCCCACCACGGTCACATATAGTCACAATGACTGCTTTGTGACAGTTATGGAATTTTGGGGTGGCTGAGAGTCACAATGAGATCAGACATTGGGTGTGAGGCCAGCCACACCCCAACCTGTAGCTTGGAAAGGTGAAGGTGGACCTCCTCCAGCAGGTCCCTCCTGTTGTGTGCCTGGTGTGGGATCTCCTAAGGATGAGGCATGAAGAAGGCAGACAGGTTGGACAAGAGGACAGTCAAGGTGACATGGTCTCTGGGTTCCATGGGGTTGCTGGTAGAGAATGGATACAAGAGAAGCATGTGCAGGTCCATCCATGCTTCCAGGAGCAATGGCGGTCTGGGTGGTGGAAGACAGTGTGGCTTTGAGCTCTTCTTGAGTGCTCTGTGAACCTGTTTGAGCTGAGTGTACCCAAAACAAGAGGCTCTGCAGCAAGTTGAGGCTCAGACATCCTCTGACATCCCGGAGGGCCCAGCTGCTCAGGCACGTTGCAGTGCTGCAGGGAGGTGAGGTCTGCACTGTTCCAGTCCAGGGGCTGACGCTGAGTTGGCTGAAATCCAAAGGTGAGCAACTCTTTCTCACAAAAGCAGGTATTACGTGATTTATTTTTTTTTTTTTTCTCTCATTGATTAGAGTTTACTATAAAACAAGCTGAGATAAACCCCTCCAGGATAATGAAGCCCATCTTCAGACCTGTTTGAACTAAATCACTGGATGAAAAGGTTGAACAGATCTGAGCCCATCCCAGCTCCCCTTGATTGGCTCCAAGGCAGGTGATGCTTGGTTTTGATTCTAGGAAAGGGCTTTGTTCCCAGGTAAAAGTTTCGTCTTTGAAACCAGGCCGACTGCAGCTGTGCAACTGAGATCTGGACTCCAGCTGCTCTGGAGAGGTTCTATTAATTTGCTTTTGATGAATATTTCAGTTCTGCCAATTCCCCTGGAGACTGCAAGTCTCACTCCTCAGCTCACCTGTTTTGCAGGAGCCAACCTGCGCAGCAGGAATTATAGAAAGCAAAATAAATAAATAAATAAATAAATTAAATTAAAATAGAGAGGAAAAGGTGAGCAGCATCAACGATGGCCAAGTTGGGAGGTGTGCTTGCTACCCAGGTATCTGTATTTGCAGTCCCAGCGTGGGAGGGTGGCACAGGGAAAATGCCCTCATCTCTGTAGCTGCAATAGCAGGGAGGTGAACATCCCCCAGCGCTTGGCACTGGTGAGGCTGCACTTTGAGTACTGCGTTTAATTTTGGGCCCCCTCATTACAAGAAAGACATTGAGGCCTTGGGTTGTGTCCAGAGAAGTGCAATGAAGCTGTGAAGGGTTTGGAGCACGACTCTAAAAGTGAGTGATAGAGAGAACTGGAGCTGCTCAGTCTGGAGAAAAGGAAGCTGAGGGGAAACCTCATCACTCTCTACAACTACCTGAAAGAAGGCTGAGGTGAGGTGGAGGGTCAGCCTCTCCTCCAAGGTAAGAACAATAGGATGAGAGGTAATGGCCTTAAATTGTGCCAGAGGAGGTTCAGGTTGGATATGAGGAGGAATTTCTTCTCTGAAGGAGTGGTTAGGCATTGGAACAGGCTGCCGAGGGAGGTGGTGGAATCACCATCCCTGGATGTGCTCAAGAACTGAGGAGATGTAGCTCTGAGGGATGTGGTCAATGGGCATAGTATGGGGGGGGATGGGTTCGGGTTGGACTTGGCAATCTTTAGTGATTCTTTGACTTGGGGTATTTGGAATGGATGATGAAGGAATCATTAGTTCCTGCTTGGTGGTTAGTACTGGGTGATGTGCTGAAATTCCAGCCAGTGAGCACCTGAGTTCTAGTTGCTAACATCCCGGTGTGGGGAGGTTCTGAGGTCCTTTTGACCCACCCTGATGGCTTCTAGAACCGTATTTTAGTAGTGGGTGAAGTGGGAAATCACTGTGCAGAGAAAAGAAGAGAAGGCATCTGAGGCTGGCAAGCCTTAGAAATTTACTGAGGAGCACAAATGAGAAGGAGTGAGTGCCAAGAGAAACGGGCAGGGACTTAAGAGTATGTGGTGTGACCATCAGCCTCCTTCCACAGAAAGAGAGAGATGCAGAAAAAAATGCAGAAGATCTTGTCTCAAGCCCCGCCTGCATTTTGCTATCATGAATGGAGAACTGTGGTTAAGGAGCTGCTGATTCCATGTGAGACATGTAGATGTGAGTTCAGGGGCAGGGGATGCAAGGGAATGGGGTGCAGGCTCACCTGGAGGTTTGCAGAGGAGAAGTTGTCAGGATAAAGGTCTGAAGGAGAGAGGCACAAGGATGGCTTTTATGCTGCTGTGTGAGTGCCTGAGGGCTTGGAGAGAGCCCCTGCGCATGGCAGCACTGTGCCGTGAGCCGCTGTTGCGTGCCAGAGCCTGGTCTGTCATGAGGTGGGGCATGTTTGCCTTCTCACTACACTCCCTTATCATTTCCTTACGTGGTAGATTTGATCCTGTGACCCTGTCGGCAGTTTTTAAGTGAGAGTGAGTGTTCTGGTGGATTTATACACAAAGCATGTCTCATGGGGGTGGTTGGAAGATGCATGTAAAGCATGGGAGAGGTGTAGAACAAGGGATGAGGTCTGGCACAGCGCTTAATTTGTATGGTTTATGATTGCATTGTGTGGTGGGGACCCCATTTTCTGGCACGCTAGCAAGGCTGCTCTGGGCTTTCTGGGTCCGTTTGGCATGAGACCCCTTCCCTTGCATCATATTTTCATGCTGCCAACCTATATCCCAATTTCCTTTCCATGTGCATTGCCCCTCTCTTTACC